GTACTTTCAATATATTCCTCATAAAGTATCCTCAAAGAAAAGATGTCAGAATGATCATCAAATATCAAATAAATAGCTTTTTCATAGAGGGGTCATTGGGTGTTAGAATATAAATCTTTAATTTTTCTTATTTTTTAATGTGTTTTTTTATTATTATTATTTTTTTCACCCAATTTTTTAACCATCAAACTTTCAAGTACTTTCAATATATTCCTCATAAAGTATCCTCACAGAAAAGATGTTGAAATGGTCATCAGATGTCAAATAAATAGCTTTTTCATAGGGGAGTCTTGGGTGGTAAAATACAAATCTTTAATTTTTTTATTTTTTCATGAAAATTTTCACCTGCAAACTAACAAAAAGTGCCAATGTGTCCTCCATTATGCATACAACAAGGTCATAGTCATTTACTCAAATTAAATGAGATTTGTGAATGTTTTTTTGGGGGGAGTCAAAATTTCATAGGGGGAGTCACATTTTCATTATGAAAATCTGACTGGGGAGTCACATTTTCATAATGAAAATCTGACTAGGGAGTCACATTTTAAGGGAGTCAGATTTTCATGGTACACCGGGCCTCGGAGGCCCGGTTTCAGGGTTTACGTAGGGTTCAATTTCCTTGTGGATGAGGGTTAATACAGTACAATCACTGGTTGGGGTGTGGAAGTGAGAAATAAGAATTCAGACATTTAAGGACTCGCATGTCATTTCAATGCAGCCGAGTACTGACAAGTATGGTTTCTTTGCATTTTTCACGTTATCTAAAGCATTACATACATGTATGTCTAGGAATTAATTAATTATTTCTAAATCACGTTGCCAGACATATATAAAAAAGGAGACCTATTCAGTAAACAAACGACCGAATGAAGAATAAGTGTTGTTAAAACGACGAAACAAACACTTTTTGGTTTTCATTTCTTAAATAACCAATCTATAAAAAAGACACAATTATAAAATGTATCTTACCCTTGATTGAGAACCTATTCTTCCAAGTACTGTCCTTCAAGAGCGGTGCATAAACGTAAGTTTCGTCTGTCAAAGTGACTTGGTTGATACATTTGTGTGTTTTTTATCGACTAAAATGACGCCAAGGACTCATGCTGGTTCGATCGAACATTTGCCCAAAAAGCCGCATCGACGTTTCTTTATCTTCAAAAAGCGATAATTGTTCCTTCTATTTGATAGTCAGCATTTATGTCGTTTTGTTTAGTGGGAAATCGTTATCCTGAAACAATATCAAAGCCAAATTAATTTATCCAAGTTTTTTTTTTTTTTTTTTTCATGTATTATTTTTAACGCAAACTGCCTGATGTCGTTAGACTAGAAATTCTTTGGACCGAAAATGGGAATATATCACGTCTGCAGATAGAACGCTTGAGTAATGGTCACAAGAATTGGAATTTCCCGTATGTAGTGTAATGTGTCCCTAATGTCTTCCTTAGGAAATGTGAGTCTGTCCAATTTTCGGTCTTAAATACTCTTTGTCTGAGAAGGCCTTCATTACATCGTCTCTGACAGTCGTTTGACGCCTTGCTAAAATTAAAACCAAACGTCCATTTCATTTTTTCTATACATATATACAATTAAAATTTTAATTTTATATTTATTTAAATTTAAATTTTAATATTAAAATAAATAAATAAAATCACTAGACATGTATCAACCCCAACTCTGAGTTTCACGGTCATATACCCAGAAGGTATGCCAGATCGTCAGGAGGTGTTTATTTGAAAATGGTGTCTTAGCCGTTTATCTACACGGCGTGACGACACTTATGTTATTGTTATTGACACTATAATTCATCAGATAGAATTGTGAAATCAAACATACGTAAACAGTTTTCAAAAGCGTCTTTCTCTAATTTACTTCCTAACTTGTTATATATTTTCAGATTATTTCCAACTTCTTTGAGAATAACTTTTAAAACAAGCAAACAAACAAATAAATAAAAGAAAGAAAGAAAGGGGAATAAAAGGCCTGCTTAAATATTACTTCACTCCTTTATTGGCCAAACTTGGTCATTGTTTTAATTTCCCACTATGTGACAACTGAACATTCCACACATAATTTTACTTCACGTTGAGATATATTAAGTATATATAACGTACATATATTTATTTCGGTCTTTTCTACAGTATTTATGTTTATACTTGCTCCATACACAATAATAAATCACAAACAACAAAAACTGTAGCAACAGAAGGTGACACTTCCATAAAATCGAAGGCTCCAGTCAGTCCATTATTACAATCCATAAAAGTCGTTAATTGTTATGTGTATGGAACAAGTCTACAGCTAACGTGTAATGAATGGATCGACTGAGAGCCCAGTGTCATGAAATTGTGGATCAGTGTGACAGAAAGTCCGTCTTCCATATAGTTATAATGGTCAGGGTTAGTCTGACCTAAGTGGGTCAAAATCTAGGGCGAGAGTCACCTGTACAAATGAATGGGAAGCGGACTGTCTGTCACGGGGGACTTTCTGGTACATGACACCAGTTAAGCTTCACATTTAGTTGGAGATTCGTTGAGCTTTCTGCGGTGTTGCTTTGCCGCTCACCTTCTCCTCTTTTATTGCACGATCTTAAAATATTTGTTTTTACAGATCGCATCGGGTCCAAAGATGACCCAAAAGGAGAGAGTAGATATTCTGGAAACACGTACTGTGATGAAAAACAAACGCGTGAGAAAATATATCGATGCATCACTGAGACAAAAATCGATGCACTGGTAATTAAATATGCCATGCTTGGAAAAACAAAAACAGGAGTAATTTAGACAGTAAACTGTATTATATTTTTATTTGAAGCTCTTGATTTATATGGTTTTATTATTATTATTATTGCCATGAAAAACACCAGGAAGTTCCTTATAAATCAGTACCAAAAAAGCTTAATTACAGTGGATAAGTTTGTCAATCACAATGAAGCTGACTCACTCTACCCTACGTTCTAGATTCCGGTATCGCCTGCTCGATCTTGATTTTATATATATATATATATATATATATATATATATATATATATATATATTCAGGGAAAAAAGAAACGCAACGCTCAGTTTTGAGAGATTTTTGGGGCAAAATAATTTTATTTTTGAGATCCGCCAGTTTTATGTGAACCCTACATCCATCTCTAATCCTCAGGCCAACTTTTTTGGCGTTTACACATTTTTGAGTCGAATAACACAACCAAACAATAGAGCATCCCCCCCCCCCCAAACCAAAAGTGACAGGAATTGCATCATACTGTCAATAGTTCACGTGACCCCCGTTGGCGTCCTGGACAGCAGTTATTCGTCTCCTCATGGATCGGCAGTAGTGTCTGAGTTGATCTTGTGGAATCGCCGCCCATTCTTCCACCAGTGCCGCCCTCTGTTAAGTTTCGCTGCTGAGTTTCGGGAGGATGTTCACGTCGGCGGACACGCAAACTGAGCAGATCCCATACATTTTCAATGGGATTTAAGTCCGGACTATTGACAGTATGATGCAATTCCTGTCACAAAACTTAGGATTAAAAATGGATGTAGGGTTCATATAAATCTGGCGGATCACAAAAATAAAATTATTCATCCCTCCCAAAATTCCCAAAACTGAGTGTTGCGTTTCTTTTTTCCTTAAGTGTATATTAACAAAGCGGATGCGAGTAAATTAGATAATTAGATAATGCAGCAATTATAACAGACACAAAAGGTATAATAAGTTTCTGTTAACGTAATGGGCATAACCCTGTCATGGGTTATGTCCATTACTGGTGGTTCAAAAAATAAACATCATTTTTCTTACTTGTGTTTCTATTACATACATTCACTAATGGTGAAATCTGCAACTAGTGTAACATTAATTTTCGGGTAATTTGTCATACAATTCGACTTCGCTGTCCTTGTCTGTTGTATTGAGCTCTATTTCTCCATGGTTATTGCACACACATTTAACTTATCCCGACTAAAACAGATCACGATATCTTAGAGTCTGTCTCGTGTAACGAATTTATCACGTAGTTATTCCCTTTGCAATTTCTTCAACAGTCTCTGAATTAAGAAGGCTCATACTCCTAGAGCTTCGACGTTTTATACCTAGTTTTAGTTAATCTTTACATGTGCATTTTAGCTTTATCTTTTAATTTTTGTACCACAATATGTCACACTTGAAGACAATATTGATGCTTTCAAAACATGTCCAGCACAAGTTTCTAAAGTGAGGCATTTGTTGTCTAAGTATAAAACCTCCTTTGCTTTCCATGACTTGGATTTGGGAAATTGTACTACTGACTACTGTCAAGCATAAAATCAAACAAAAAAATATGACGTTTAACCGGGTATGTCAATGGTGATGACAACGCATCGCATTGTTCTGCTGCTGCACAGTAGTAACACATTGGAATAACACCCAACAGCAGTAATCGGTCTTTCTTTTCTGTTGAGTCAACACTACTTTAGTCCTGTCGAGTATATCCTTAGCTCCTGGATTTTTTTGATCGTTTCTTAGAATAATTCTCCATTTTATTGGTCCTGGTAGTGCGTTTGCTGCTATAGATAATACCAAACCGCAGTGGCCTTTACCGGTGTGACAGGAATGATACCATTAGTCCGTAAGGAACCGTAGTCCGTTTCCATTACTTTGTACAGGTGACATTCATCTCATACATGTATACTAACCAAAGAAATCCGACTAACCCTTATCTGTACTAATCATGTGTGAACCCGGACTTCCATTCCTAGCACTACCATTCCTGTACATGTATAATTGATTGTACCCTGTCATGGCTTATGTCAAGACATTATAATTATCAAGGTGTACCAATAAGGTCTCGTTAAATTCGTCATCCATATAAACTTAGTCATCTTTCCAGGTGTGATCTGCAAAACCACTGCTGGGATGGACATGACTCACAACTCTGGCCCTCTGACGGATAAACTGGCCTCGCAGGTCGTTGCCGGTGTCAGCAAGCAAGCAGCATCTGGAAAGTACCCCTCTCTTACCCCCCCCCCCCCAAACAAATAACCACTGTCCATCCTGATGTGTACACTTGATACAAAGGAAATGACCTTTGTACGCAAATGACCATACTTAATTGTCATCGAAACTTATAGAGATTCGCTTTTGCTTAAAGGTATTAACTTTTGTAATGATGAAACATCTTAAACTTTGTATGTAATATGCTTCATATTACCCCGGTTATTTGCTTACTGGAATTATGCAGGGTTTTATATAATGCTACAAAATATATAGCATTTCAACAGCTTTAAAAAAAAAAAAAACAATTAAACCAATTTTGTTCATAGAACGATGTAAGTTTTCTTTGATTTTGCCAAAATATGTTTGTTCATGTGGTCAAAGTTAGTAATCAATATTCTGAAAAGTTCACTGGAAAAGAGAAATGATGATAAACTTCTAACATGTCTCCAGTCTTTTTCAGCCGGCATGATTTTGCTTAGAAATAGATTTTTCTTAGTAATGGTACCAATGCCACAATATGTGGGTATGCATTACTAAAAAGTTTGCTTTCTAAATGTACGTTTCAGTATAAATGCTTTTGTCAAAATAGCGATAGTTTGTCTGTTTTTCTTCTGTTTTTGTTATTTTTATTTCCATCTGTGACACAAGTAGACGTTTTCCCCACACAATCTGAACATCCACCCACGCCACAGTCTATACAAACGTCACATAAACGTCACAGCCTGTACAAACGTCACACACACGTCACAACCTGTACAAACGTCACATACACGTCACAACCTGTACAAACGTCACATACACGTCACAACCTGTACAAACGTCACGTACACGTCAGTTTCTACAAACGCCACAGTCTGTACAAACGTCACATACACGACACAATACAAACGTCACACACACCACACAGTCTGTACAAAAGTCACACTCTGCCCAAACGTCACATACACATCAAAATGCTTTTGGGCTCTACACGTAGTCTAGCACCGAACATTAACATTATGCCATGAAAAGAATCACACAATCACGCAAGACATCCAACGGTACCTGCAAGTGGTCTCTATAACATACATCTGTGTATTCTTTGAACCATTCTTTCATGCAATTCAACACTTCACCATATGTAATAAATAATTGAACCCATCCACTAAAATATGAAAAAGTAAGGATAAAAGGAGAAATATTTGGATAAGAACGCAAAAAGATACATGGACAAATAAATCATGGCATGAAAAAAAAATAAGAAGAATATTGAAATTATTGAAAATTATTCAGTGCAAAGAATGACTTACCTTGTACTTGTATTTCAAGGAGGACACGAGATCTACGCTGAAATGTTCTTTTTAATTATCTCAAAAATGCCAAGTGATGCGTCACACACATGCTAATTGCAATAAAAAATGTGCGTTTGCAATACCTGTGTGACGTAGGGCTTAACTTAGCACCGTCCTATTTCAACATATCGAGTGATTACCATGTACATGTACATGTACTAATGCAGTATGTATATCCATTCCCATCGTTGTTCACACATGTTGTTTACCATGGTTACAGTGCTACAATGCGGGATTACGCTGGGAATGGTGAAAATCTATTATCACCCGCCACGATGAATAAGCACAGCACTAAGTTTGACAGTCACACCTACACTATATCTTTATCACTATGTGATAACAGAAACTGAACATGAAAACCTTTTTCAAAATATCCAAAATGGCCACCAGTTTCAAAATGGCAACCAAAAATCTTACCACAGTCCTCTTCCGCTCCATCCCACTGCCCCCAGTCCAAGCACAGCCGCACCCTCTTGGTACCTCCGTCCCCGAAGGTGGCATTGTTGGTGCACTGGTACTCCACAGCTGACCCCACCTGGCGGTCAGTGGAGTTGACCACCGCATTGATAAGGCTACTTGATATTGCTGGGCACAGGATCACTGTAGCAAAACGGAATGACAGTCTAAAATACAGCAGTACTCTGTTGCTTTATTTAATTTGGTTGTTACTCACACTGAAAACATGTATGTGTCGCATCTTTTCCAGCGTTGTATTGGTGTTGTTGAGTCGGGTGAAAATTGTAGGGTGAAGAGGTTCCAAATGTGAAAATACACCATAACCAATAGATACCAAGGATTAGACCAGCTATACTGCTTTGGAAATATATAAGCAATGATGATACAGAACGAAACAATTGGAATTCTTGATAAGTCGCGAAAGTGTGATCAAGCGGTGACAAAACCACAAAGAACCCGCAAAACGATTAAAAACAGCAATGCACTAAATCAAAGTAAAAAATCCAATTGTGAAATTGCGAAAATTATTTTAACAAACAGTAAGTAAAGCTGACATTTTAAAAAATCAAAATAATACAAGGCAAAAAAAAAAAAAAAAAACGTTAGAATCAAATAAATATATTTCAAAACTGTGTGGAACTTACTTTCACATGCGGACACTGAGGCAGCGGACCACTGACCCGTAGTCAAACAGGACACCGTCTTCGTCGTAGAACCGCCAGGGAATCGGTAATGCTGTAGACAAGTGTAGGTGGCCACAGCGCCCACCTTGTCACCCCCCACGACGCTGAGCGTGGCGTTGGCCGCTGTCGGGAGAGCGGAGGTACAGTGGATCGCTGAACAGAAAAATTCTATGCATTTTTTAATTCAAATTTTACATTGTTTACTATATTGAACTAATTTGGATTTTATTATCTTTATTATTATTATTATTATTATTATTATTATTATCATTATTATGGGAGCGGGAGAAAGGGAAGAAGGGATTGCCTCTAAATTTAGATAAGGGGGGAGCACTTGGATTACATACTACGAATTATTCGTTATAAAAACAACACTGCGATAAGAAAGCGTCTCACGTTTAACATATCTAAACAAAGTTAGGACTATTAACTAAATAATGCGACTACATGATTATTATTGGAACAGATGAGAATAAATGTCCACCAACCTTCACAATCGGGTGGAGGCGCAGTCCAGTTGTTAAACGTACAAGTAATCGTTTTCTCTGCCTCTAGGGTTCCATTTGGCCAATCGTAGCCAGGTAGGCAAAAGTAGGTCACCTGCGAGTTGTGGTTGCGGCTCGTACTGGACGCGGTTGCGTTGCCGACAGAGGGCACTTGGGGACAACGAACCTCTGGCAAAGGTGAAAATACACATATCTGTACTGAAGACACATGGGTTAGAAAATACGTTTAGGTGTACATAGGCTGATGTTTGTATAAAATCTGAGAAAGTATCCCTAAAATGATTTAGGTCATACTGTGAATTCGAAAAAAAAAAAGACATGAACCATAATTGTAAATGGCAAAAAATGACCTTTTTCTAATCCGTGGGTGATAAATGGTGCTAAGTAGAATGAGAATAGGGCTTTTTTAAAATAATTTTTGATTTATAAAGACTTAAGCATTTTGTGTATGATTACCCCAAGTTCGCCACACTGAGTATCGATTCTCTCCGCCACAACGCTGTTTGGGATCGCCTGTACACACGGTGTCGCAATGATAACTTGCTGCATACCCGTATGTTCTAATTTCATTTGCACAGCTGCAGTTGGCTGTCGACAGAAAAGTATATGCATCATTCAAAAAAAAGTGGTTACCGTTATGTGGCATATAAATTTATGTTTCAGGTGAGGATGAATTTGAAATTTGACACCCCTGTGAAGTTGATTCCTGGTTCCTTATTCCTTATTCGGTTACTTATTCAAATGTGAAGTTGGTTACTTATTCCCGGTTCCTTATTCGGTTACTTATTCAACTTTTTTATGTTTTTTTATGATTTTGATGCTAAAATACCTGTTTCATCATACTAGCACCCCCTCTTCATCTAGATGACACCCTAAAATTGTTAAATATACCACTAAAAACACAAAATATAACCCATTCCTTATTCAAAAGTCCTGTTACTTATTCGGTTACTTATTCCTTATTCGGTTACTTATTCAACTTTTTTATGTTGTTTTATGATTTTGATGCTAGAATACCTGTTTCATCATACTAGCACCCCCTCTTCATCTAGATGACG